ACACACACACACACACACACACACACACACACACACACACACACACACACGCACACTCCTAAAAATACTTTAATACTATCTACCGAGGATAGATTCCTGGTGCGCGAAAAATACGCACGCATAGCTCACGTTCAACGTGCTTACCGGCAGATTGGAACTATGTAAAATGGGAGATCTGAAAAATCTAAATGATTGATTTAAAAAAAAAAAATTATGAATCGCCCTTTTAAGGGTATAATTTGAAACGATTCTCCACTTGAGAAAGCCGAATTTGGACTTTACTCTTACAAATCATACGCGGGCTCGTATACACGCATACACACACACTCATATACACATACATACACACACACACACACACACACACACACACACACACACACACACACACTCACTTTTTCTCTCTTTCGCTCGTGGAAATTCAAAGACACTCTCGGAGACACACGTCCACCTCGCACTTGCATTTACACAATGCACACACTTGCAGACACACGCGCATGCACATACATGCACACACACGCACACATTCACTGGCAGATCCGGCTTGCCCACATCATAACCTGTGGCATTCCGTCTGATATAGCCTCTAAGTTGTGAAAAGTTGTAATAAAATGTCATAGTTTGTATTTGTTTTTTTGTTTTGTTTGTTTTGGTTTTGTTTTTGTTTTTTTATTTTGTTTTGGTGTTGTTGTTTTTTGTTTTGTTTTTTTGTTTCTTTTTTTTGGGGGGGGGGAGTGTATGTCTTCGGCACAGAATGTATACTTATATTGCCCTGTCATTAACGAACTACAAAACTAAAGGCAATTGTTGTACTGAGAATCTACGAAATTTAACAAGTATTCCGATATTGACGCCCACCTCTCACAAGACCGTGGAAAACGACAAAGTTCGAGTGGTATGCCTTTTCCAAAGACTCAACATGATACCGAGCTGAACCTCGTTGGGGGCTCTCGTGGCCTAGAGGTTAAGGTGTTTGCTTCTCGTTCAAAGGTCCCGGGTTCGAATCCGGGTAACGACCGAAACATTTTATTCTTTAAAATTACCTCCATTCCTGTTTCTAGCAATGTTCTGTCGTCTGCTTTCGTCTCCACTTTCTGCCCCCACCCCCTCACCTCCTTTGCCACCTACCCTGGGCTCCTGACTATTTCTGCAGCCTTTCTACTGCTACTCCTTGGCTCCTTCTTACTGCTGTCTTTCAGCCACACCCCTGACCTTCTGGTAGGAAAGATCTACTCCTAGCCTTCTCGGACAAGGGCGAAAAATCTCGGAAGGCCCGTATACAAGGTGCTCACGTTAAAGATCCCTTGGAGGTGGTCTAAAATCGATAAGAGTAGGCTTCGGCCGCCACCCGGACAAAATTCAAAATTTCATATCAACTGAAAAAGTTTCATGTGTCCCGCGCGCTCATATGAGCTAATGCACTTGCAAGTACCGTAAAACTCTGACAAAAAAATGGGCGGCGTTGGAGGAAAAATAAGATCAGAAATATGTGTTCTGACACCGTGGAATCAGGCTCTCGTCAATTTCTAGGGATATAGAGTTATTGGTATCATTTTAAAGCTTGTTCATTTGTACTGCTTTGGATGGGAAGAAAATATCCATTTGTCTTGAATACAAGTCAAGATATATCCGAATCAAGGAGGGGGAAGTCACGTAGTTTCAGAGATAAAATTAGTGAGAAAATGGACGCCAAAATTAGTTATTTCCTTAGCTTCAAAGTCCCTGGAAACGAAAAATTTACTTTTTTCTGCATTTAATCAACGTTTTCCAGTAAACTGCACATAGAAATGTGTTCTTTAATGGGCATGAAAGCTGTTGAGCCAAAAAAAAAAATTAGATACATTTTTACAAACCTACGGAAAAGGCCAGTTTCTTCACTTTGATTAGTTTGACGAGCACCCGAATTCACCACGCTGTCTCTCATATTAACGTCTCATCCTCGGCTATGCGTCCTTTATTTTATTTTTTTAGCTAGAAGGCTTTGTAAGTATTAAAGGTTAGGGGGGGGGG